ATATATTTCTGATTATCGAAACTACTAGGAGAGGAGGCTTTCCAGGTATTTCTTCCTTATTTTGCAGTCCCTACTTGTTGAATCGAAAATGAATCGTCCTCCGACCTCAATTTAGTAGCAACGATGATTTAGCATTAATTTTTACGTGTTTGAGATGATTTAATTTATGGTAATGGTTTGTGTGTGTGTGTGTGTATTTGAATAGGCAGCGGTGAGCGATGGCGGAGGACAAGAGCATTCCCGAAGGTGAGAGCAAAGAATCGAGTCCCCCGGTGGTGAAGAAGAAAGGCAAGGGAGTCCTCTCCCGCGTTTGGAATGCAATCTTTAGGATTCACGGGGACGATTTCGAGAAGAGACTTGAACACATTTCCAAGGAAGAGGCCGCTGTTCTCGCGCGAATGAAAAGAAGATCCCAGACGTGGAGGAGAATGGTTAGGCATCTCATTGGCTTCTCTGTCATTTTGGAGGTACCCACCCTCAACCTCAGCACTCTATCTCTACACTACACTAGTTGCTAACAACAATAATAAAGCCAAACAGTTTTTTTCACTCCTAATCTGCAACTTGTTGCTCTTCGTTTCTCATGCAGTGGTATTACTACTTTTTGAAATCATTTTTCAATCTGAAATGTAGCTTTATTCCATATTTTGTTTAACATGTGTATACTATCTGTCATTTGGAAAAGCTCTCGGTAGAGTCTACCAACCTTGTATCATTGGTGATTTTCCTCATATTCTGCATCCAACCATTCATATATTTTCTTGGTCAGCAGCTGAATTTCTTCATCCATATTTGGCCTGTGCATCTTCTATTTACATCTGAATAAATTTCGTTGTTCTATCAACTTCTTCCAGAACAGAAGTGCTGCCCAACTGACCTTTTTTCTAAGAAAAAAGAATGACAAGGAAAATGTGACAAGTACTTGCAATAACTTTCTACCTTTTCAAAGAACTCTTTTCTGGATGGGCCCTCATGAAGATTTTCTTGTCAATTTGCAGGTTGTCGCAGTTGCTTATGCCATCATGACAACAAGATCCATGGAGTTGAATTGGAAGATGAGGGCATTTCGAGTTTTACCAATGTTCCTTTTGCCTGTTTTTTCTTCTCTTGCTTATTCTGCAGTTGTAAGCATCACAAGGATGTGTAAGTAACTCAGTTCAGTATCTTACACAATTTTCATGTTGTTAGAGGTCTAGAGTTGTTGTTTTGTCTGTATATATATATTTTGTTTATGTTATTAATTGGTAATAGGTGTTGAAAATTTACAACAGGGTGAATCCTGATGATAGAATTTGTGAGTATGTGCTGACTATCTGCACAAGTTATGTATTAAACAAGCACAGAGAAGTTCTAACCTTGTAGATAGTAACATGAAATATCCTCATTACTTCTCTTACTGGACAGTTACCTATTAGTAATTTGCTGTTGTCATGCTTGACATGTGTGTGTTGGAAATCACTTTAATGATTGTCTATAGATATCATAACTTGTTTTTAATCTATTGTATTTGTATCCACAGTTGTTATCAAGATGTATGAGGCTTGCCTTTTTGTAGGTTTTAACTTACTTTGAGCATTGATTATATCTAGCAGAAGTTAACAACCCTAAGATTGTTAGTATGAATTGTGTTCCTAAACTAGACATGCTGATTCAACTTCAGACATAACTTGAGGAACCTAAAATTGAAAAGTATAGAATTAATCTAGTTGGCAGTTTGAAACCTGAAGACAATATGGCCTTTTGTTGAAATGCATTTTTAACTTATATAGAACAATTTAATTGGATGACCTTTTTCTAATCCTTTTTGTAGCTGGTGACTTCCTCCTTTTTTATCCTCCACTCTTGTACTTATTTTCTCTCCATCCCCACTCATCTTAGATTTTCTGGACCAATTTTCCTGCTGCAAAACAAGAACTTATTCACAATGTTGTGCAATTAGTTTGGACAATCTTAGTACGTAACTTATTTGAACTTTTTGAGCTAATAACTCACATGAGTACATTCCAATTGTGGCAAAACAACACTCATATAGAACACCTAGAAGGAAGCCTAAATCTAGTCTTAAAGAGGCCCTATTTTCCTATTAATATAAGTTTTATTTTGGGTAGCTTGTTTTTGTAAGTAGTTCAAGGTAAAACACAGAGCTGACTATTGATTTTAGCTGGTCAAAATTGGGCTGTTCCTGTCTGTTGTCTTTGCTCTATTTCCTCTGTTTGTTACACTAAAGATTTTTTTTTTTTGATTAAGTTATGTACCTAAGATTTGATCCAGAATCCTTTCAGTGTACTGCCATGTAATTGGCGTCATGAATTTCTGGGCTTCATTTATCATTGTAGCGTTGTTTACCTTAACGTTTCAAAATGCAGTCCTTGATTGTTGTATCTATATTTTGATGATCAAGGTCTTGCTCATGCTCTCTTAGATAGTTGGACAGTTCTTAATTCTTTCTCTTACCTTCTTATATTAGGCAAAGCTCTTTCTGATTCAAAAGCAAATAGCATAAGTGACATTCCGTAATTATTCTTACTACTATTCAAAACACTATTTCCATCCTTTACATATTTCCTTGCATTGTGATTGCATTTTGGTAATTTGTGTACCATGGAAAGTAAGCCTGTACAGTTTTTAAGAATAAGTGGTAACCATAATAAGCTATATTACAATGATATATTAGTTCAACATTTGTGGGTTTTCTAATTATGGGTAATCTTGTTAATTTAAGACAATTTTATTTTATAGGTGATCGCAGGGACCAGAAAACACTAGAAAGACTTCGTGCTGAAAGGCAAGCTAAAATTGATGAACTTAAGGAGAAGACAAATTATTACACTACACAACAGCTTATTCAGGTAATCACAGAAAACCAGTTATTCATTTCATCAAATCTCCATTTAAGTCCTGTGCTTGAATTCTACTCGAACTTTCTTCTGTTATTAATGCCATGAAAGGGGGGTGTGAAACTCCCTGAGATATGTTGTTGTAACAAGTATTTACCACTTTTGTATATTTTCCCTAGTAGTGTAAGACACCTCTTGCATAGCTAGAAGAAGAGTTATTTAACTAGGGAAAAGATATTAGTTAGAGCCTCATTTTATTTGAACAATAAAATAAAATAAAAAGGGAACTATTGATAGAATTGCTTGCAGAAGCACTGTGGGATAATTTTCCACATATATGCAATGCACAGAACAATGCAGGAAGGTATAAATGCTTTGATTAATCATCTTGAAAAAGTTGCTACTTAAGTAAATTATAGGCAAAAGCCTGTTATTAAGAAACTTATGTTATCAAACAGAAGGTATAACAATTAATTAAGATTTCTCCTTTTCTTTTTTTAAAGCTGAAATGAGGACAGTGGATAAAATTTCCTTTTTTAGCTTTTGTTTTGCTCTTAGAGTTTGTTTTGCTTATGAGCTAGATCCTGGAGTATTTTTTTGAATGCGTGATATCATATGCAAATCGAACTTAGCCAAAGCACTTTGATGCAGAGATATGATCCTGATCCAGCAGCAAAGGCTGCTGCTGCAACTGTCCTGGCATCTAAGTTGGGTGCAGATTCAGGTTTGAAAGTCTATGTTGGAGATGAATCTAAGCTTAATGTGCCAGGGGGGAAGAGCAATGATGTTGAGGTAGTGCCATCTAGTGGACTTCGAAAACGAAAGCAATTGCACACTAGATCCAGTAGTACAGGAAGCACTCCATTGCTTCATTCTGATGAAGAAACACCTCATTCTGCAGGGAATGAGGGTCCTCAAGCTTCTGAGCATGATCAACTGGTTGTTGTTGATCATCACTATCCACAAGGACCTTCTGTACAGGATGGGGGGTGGCTTGCACGAATTGCTGCCTTGCTCGTGGGCGAAGATCCAACACAGTCTTATGCACTCATATGTGGGAACTGTCATATGCACAATGGTTGGTGGTTTTTACTTTTGCGGTTGTGGTATCAACTCAGGAATATTGCTCATCCCCTGATTCACCACATAATTGCACACATGGACACTACAGACTTGATGTGCTATTGCACAAGAATATTAAACTTGAAATTATTTTTTGTTTTTGGGTGTTCTTCAGGACTTGCCAGGAAGGAGGATTTCCCCTACATAACTTATTACTGCCCACACTGCCATGCTCTGAATAGGCCAAAACAATCAGAAGAACATGTTTCTAGTTCTAGCTCCCCTAGTATGAACCCCTTGAAAGCAGAAGGAAGTGGTGATGCAACAAAACATTCCCGTGGCAGTGGTACAATGGGTGAGAGTGTAGTGACGAGCAACAGCTCTGAGATTGAGGAAGTAACTGAAAAAGTAGTGTCAAGGGATTCAGTTGGATAAAACACATATCTGCATGGAGCCATGAATTGTGTGAGATGTTCTATTTTGTTAAAGAGCACGAGGTGGTTCTGGTTGGCCTTTGATCTCATGTGTAGAGCATAGGAACTATTGAGCTCTGGATTTGCCCAGTGGTTTTGGTTCTCTTGGTTGGTTGTGTGACTAAAAATTGTTATCTTACAGTGAACTTGTGATTATACACATATAGAACACTTTTCCTTGATTGTAATCATGGAAAAAGTGCACCTGTACCATTTTACCTTGTGATCATTGCACTAAATCTTTTTAGGCTGTGAGCGAACATACTCGTGGAAGTTCCAAAAGATGAATGAGATTTTTCATTTTGCTTATAAACTGTCATCCCATCACTTTCAATATAGTTCATAGTCACGTTTCTTTTATTGTTATTATTATTATTGTTATTATCTTTCAAAAAGGGTTAATAGTCACTTATCATTTTCATCAACAATTGCAAATGACCTTGTGACACATGATTCGATAAAATCATCACTATACAAAAAGGTCAAGGACAGACACGGTTCATATTTGGAAAATCACAAAATCAAATTGACCTAAATTATAAGTATATTTAGTTTTATGGGAAATTAGAAATAAATTGTTGCTTTCAAAAGCAAAGGCTTGGTAATTTGTAGTAACCGATTAGCACCAATGATTAAACTAAAACCGACAAAAAAACAAAAGGGAAAAGGAGAAGAAGATAGAAGGCCGGCCGTGGCCCGTGGGATTTTTTTATTACCATTTTTAGGGTATTCCGGCGGGAAAGAAAACACTTTGTTAACACGTGTCAAGAGAAGAGCATTTACATTTTACAACTATTTATTGGAAAAATATATAAGCAGTCGTCGTAGTGGTAGTCGTAGCATTGGGAAGAAAAATTGGAAGCGAGAAGTCAAAATGGGTCTCGGCTTTAGGGTTCATGTTCAGCCACTCTTACTCTAATCTTAGAATTAGAATTAGTCTCTCCTCGAGTTCGATTCACTCCCTGTGTGACTCGGAATCAAATCCATTTCTCATTTGAGGTTCTCTCTTCTCCCATTGCATTTTTTCTTTACTTACTCTTTTCTTGTTTGGATTGATGGAGTTTTTATGAATTCGTTTTTCTTTAAACCTTAACTGCAATTCTTCGATTCGGCTTACTGCATCTTCCTTTGGCTGCAATTCAAGGACTACGATGAATGTAGATTAATCCGATTTTCTTTTCCTAGTTTCATGTTTGAGATATAAATCCACCGGAATTAACTATTTTTTTTTTCTCCCGGTTATGTTTTGATTCTTCGCTTCTGCTGGAGCTGCAGAACCGTCGTTTCGTGTGCCGTGGACGACTACATGGACCAGGTTAGTTGTCATTTTAATTTACCTCGTTATTTTGCTGCATTATCTCTGCTCCTGAGCTCGTTATGCTCTTTCTCAATCTTCCAGTACGAGAAGGTTGAGAAGATTGGTGAAGGAACCTATGGCGTTGTTTATAAGGCTCGAGACCGCACCACCAATGAAACAATCGCTTTAAAGAAGATTCGCTTGGAGCAGGAAGACGAGGGTGTACCTAGCACCGCAATCAGAGAAATTTCTCTCTTGAAAGAAATGCAGCATGGAAATATCGTTAGGTATGCTATGCACTGCACAACTCAAATATTATTCCATTCACATTGCTGTTTCAACCTCACCAGTTTAAACCATTTTGCTTCCTGCTTCTGCTACTCTTTACTTTTCTTCCTTGCTGTTCAGTCAGAGTGTCTACTTTTTTATCTACTCCTTAAATCACTAGATAGTAGATAATGATCCCTCATGCGTTCTTGTTATGCTCTATTTAGACAACAGGACCTCATGGTAGCTTTTGATGCTTATCTTGCCTGCCATAGGTTTTAAGTTTTTGTCATATGGTAGATGACAGCTCCTCTTGCTTTAATCAGAAATTTTTTCCATTTTCCTGTAAGACGAAGTGAATAAGTATTTTGAAAACGTACATTACATATTGAGTGAAAGAAGGAGAGAAACAAAAAAAATTTAAAAATGCGGCAACACCATACTTTCCTGGAAGCAGAAAGAAGCTGATGCATTGCTCTACTTTCTTTAACTAAGGAATTTGACTTAGGTTCCTTAAATGAAGCCCATGAATTGGCTTTCGTCGTTCTGAATGTTTTGAAACCATTAACATCTCTGGTCATCTTTTTCACTATGTCCTAACTTCTTCTTGTCTCTTGTATACATTGACTGTAGACTGTTTGTCAGGCAGCTTCTCTGATTGATCTTCGGATGACAGGTTGCAGGATGTAGTGCATAGTGAGAAGCGTCTATATTTGGTTTTTGAATATCTGGACTTGGATTTGAAGAAGCACATGGATTCATGCCCAGAATTTGGGAAAGATCCACGAATGATAAAAGTGAGTGAGATTTTTCTTCTGTTTGAAGGTTTAGGCCTTCTATGCATAAAAATGAGCTCTCTGTTTGGAGTTTAACAGCTTTGAAATGTCACACCCCATTGTCCAATTACTGAATATAATGGTTGCTGCAGGTTTTTGTTGTTTATAATAGATATGATTCACAAATTCATTTTGAAGTGTGAGGAGATGTAGTTCTTTTATCTGCAATCATCTCATTCAAGTGTCTGTTGGAAGCCAGAACTATGCTATCTTATACCTTTCATGTTTTGTATATAAATTTTGAACTTATAACGTAGAAATGTAATGCTTTTGGAACTGCTTGTCAAGAAATGTCTAATTGTGCAACTCTTTCCCCCCAGCCTCCCCAACCGCATTAACTATACTATTCTAGGTTAGCATCTTCGTCTGAGTGCATTAAGCCCTTGCTATTATCAACATCGGTCATTGCTTGACCTTGGTTGTCTAATGTATTTGGGTGATGATACTATTACTCACAATAGTAATGTTGTTATATGATCACCTTGCAGACATTCCTTTATCAAATTCTCCGTGGCATTGCTTATTGTCATTCTCATAGGGTTCTTCACCGAGATCTAAAACCACAAAATTTGCTGATAGATCGCAGCACCAATGCACTAAAGCTTGCTGATTTTGGGTTGGCCCGAGCATTTGGTATTCCTGTCAGAACATTTACACATGAGGTATCAAGAATCACCAAGTTTAAGGTTTTGGGGTGTTCACTTGTCTTGCTAATGCTTGGTTATTCCCGTTTAATGCTAGGTATTTATAGTTGGTTGATAACAAACTCTTAAAAGTAACATTACATCTTCCTCTCATACAAAGTGATAGCAATTAAAAGCTGGAAAAAAGAAGTTTCAATCTGCTGGAAAAGTCCTTGGCTTTGCTGCATTTCTGCAGGACGAAACATTTTGTTTCTACTTGTGACAAGAAAATTCCATCGCTTGAAAAAGGAAAAGATAGTCTGAGTAACTACAATTTGGTAGTTCTATCAAATAGTTTTCCCTTCCATTGCATTCGGGACTTCTGTTGCTCTGGAGTCTCTAATGCAGTTTTAGATTCCTTTAGAGTATCAGTGAATTGGTTTCCAGTTGGATATATCTTAAATGTTTTAGGATAACAGAGCCTGGCTAATGACTTGCATGCTTGATATTTTCAGTACGTAAGCATACCAATATTACCTTAGATTCTAAAAATAGTTGTTATCTCTAGGTGGTTACCCTATGGTACAGAGCACCAGAAATACTGCTTGGGTCCCGTCATTACTCTACACCTGTTGATGTGTGGTCAGTGGGCTGTATATTTGCTGAGATGGTGAATCAGCGGGCATTATTTCCTGGGGATTCTGAGATTGATGAACTGTTCAAGATCTTCAGGTGTTGTACTCTTTTTACCACAAAGTTGTTGCCTTCATTTTATTTTAGTTTCCATCCAAGGTTGTAAATTTGTTATCTGTGTGTGTTTCTGGTGTTCTTTTATAGTTCTTTGCAGCAGTTACCTTCAGTGCATTCATTTGGAGTCTGCTGTGAATAGTCTTGAAGGGATGATTTGATTATGTTATTTAAATGCTAACTCAAAATGATTATAGGAAATTGGTTAATTATGCATCTGCCGGGAGAGGAGTTGTCCTTAAACCGAAATGTATAGATAAGTTTATAAGTGGCTCGCCAAAACCAGACAGGGACATTGATGGTCTTATATAATTCAATTCAAAGGAGTGTCCCTAATGTGATGGTTGGATTCAGCAAGGTTAAATGTTTCTTTTTCTGTTCTTACCTGTTGTTCCCCTCTTCACATGTTGGGAAAACTTATTATCTAAAATTTTGTGTCATATTATCCACATATGACTAAATTTGGGTTGAATTTAGATAACATGAGCTAAACTGAGTCGTGCGAGTGTTAGCTTGGCTTGTACCAAAGAAGAAAAGAACTTAGCTTGGCAAACTCTTTTAATGTTTAAATAGATAACGTGTTTCTGTTTTCTCTTTTTCTTTTTTAACCCTATTTTTATAAGTCCTATAATTTTGCTCATCTGACATTTGATGCCTTCTTTCTTGATGTGCATAAGCCAATGCATTGCCTTAACCATGAGCTTTCGATTTGCATTTTGCTAGACGGCAACGTGAATCTCTACTGACTAAAGGCTAAAAGAAGAGTTATTTGGCATTCAAAGATATGAATGATGTTAGAATGGGCTTCCTTATGGCTGTTTATCTGTATTTTACACGTGCAGACACCCACACATACCTTGTACATAAACAAAATGGAGCTCTTTTAGTTCATTGATCGTCAAAGGTTGCCTTCTACATGTAGCGTATAGGAAAATATTAGTGCAAATTTGCTCTTTCTCATGTAGTTTTGTGTATATGTAAAACTTGTGCATTCCTTTTAGACTGATATATTATTTTTTATGTGAAGAATCTTGGGTACTCCAAATGAGGATATATGGCCTGGAGTGACTTCATTGCCTGATTTTAAGTCTGCTTTTCCGAAGTGGCCGCCTAAGGTAGCATTGTGTTTATGGCATCTAGTGTTTGTATGTTTTATCATCAACTTCTTAGACAGAAAATGTTGTTGGATGAATTAATTGATACACTTTGATTGAGATTGGCTACAGTTGTCCAATCTGAATCAGCTGGCATTGACCTCCTTCTGTAAGTATCTATCTGGTGTCTTCCCTTTCTTTCACCTGAGTCCTGACTATGTGACTGCAAAGTATCAAGCGGCAATATATAAGATAAAATAACTTTGCTAGTTGTTATGAGTTGTGAGCTACCAATGTAGCAATTTTTATTTGCTAAGGTCAGAGATGTAGTTGATTGATGTGCTTGCTTCAGCTTTAGAGACTTGGATTATTATTTGTTGTTGAGTATATTGGTGATAATATTACTCCAAGCTGACTGCAGCTTGAGATCATTTTGAAACTGGCTAATATTACTCAATAAATTTAAGAAAAGATGGCTTAAAGCCAAGCATTTTTGTTTTCTGTGAGCTTTAACATATGACCATTCCTGATGATGGCTAAGAATGTTTGAATACATGTATTGCATCTCTTCAATTAACTGACATACATTGGCGCTATCAGTTTCAGAAAATGCTGTGCATGGATCGAGCAAAAGAATACAGCAAGAAGTGCACTTGAGCAGAATACTCAAGGATATGGGTTTGTACCCTAATAGGGCCATTTATCCATCTTCCTGAGAAGTGTCTATATTGATGTAGCATCTTGTGGGTTTTGATTGTGAGAAATAGTGTGGTCTATTATAAGTTTGTTTGTTACTCATTGCAATTTTGGTTGCCTCTTCAATTCCGTGGACCAAAATGAGATAAAATGGAACTGCTTTTTGCAGTTGCCTTGGAATGTCTAGCAATAGCAACTATCTGACTTTTGTTTGCCTCATCCGGGATGAATCACATTGCATTGCTTTGCTTTGGGTAAAACATATCATTTTTCGTGTTGATTTGGATTTTATCTGAAACAGCCATACCTTGTTTTGATGGGCCGGAGATGAAATTGACAAATCGTACCTCAATTAAACCCGTTAACCGGAGGGAACGGAATCATTTACGGTGAATACATGTATAAAGAATCGAGAAATATTCGATGGACAAAGACAAGCAAAAGTTAGAACAATGTGAAACAAAACAAAATACGGAAGGCATAAATAAAGAGATTGGAAAGATCCAGGCTATGACATTGCAGTGCAAGACGATGTGAAAGCACAATCCAAGCAAGGAAGCTTCCAAGGAACCAGCCCCGCCCGAGCCTTGTGTCGAGCTTTTAAGGGAGCAGATGTAATCCTGCCATTCTTGTTTCTCTTCACTTTGCATCCAACACTTAACATGCTGTTAATAGATATTAATTTATATAATAAATATAAATAATTTATTAATGCACATAGAAATAGACAGATGGATGCGTAGATGACACATACTGACAATTGTGGCAAGGATTCAATCCAGGTGTAGCAGCTGCATATACAACTGAATTCACCGACCCTTTCACGTGTAAGTACTCTCTTCTTCCATTGGCCCTCTATGTTTCATCTTCTTCAGATATCTGAAATTATATAATGACTTGACCTACTGGTCCTTATTTCCTTTCTTTTTTTGAAAAAAAAATGAAGTCTAACCTTTTCCTCGTATCTAATTCATGTGTATATAAAAAAATATAAGAACAACAATATTATCAAACCTCATTAATTAATCATTTTAATCTGCCAAATGTTATGTTAGATACTTCTGGGAATTGAAGAAAGGAATATGATAATGACATGGCTAGTTAAGCAAAAGCCCTGACAATGGGCATAGCAAGTAGCCGCACCTTTATTCTTCCCTTGCAAGAGTGGCCAAAACAATTCACGGGACAAAGTTTGCATTGCCCTTTCGTTTTTCCTGCTTTACAACTAAACTTGTTTCCCTGCAATTGTACGCACGTATTAATGTGAGATAAAGTTCCCAACCTAGATGCTACGCCTGCCCCCCGCAGCTGCAAAACGGTTAAACATGTTGCTTTCTTCATAACCATAAAACTTCCCTGCATCACAGACTCCTTGACCATCCCTTGCAAGGTTTACGTATGCTTTGCACTTATAAAAAGTTGCATAAAAGCCAACCCCGTATCTCCCAAGGAGTAATTATGTCAAAACCCCACAGCAGCTAGCAAGTACTCAACCCAACAAATACAATGGAGCCCTCCACCAATTGTTCCGCATGCGATGCTGGCCATGACGATGAGACTAGTTATTTGAACGTACCCTTGCTACTCCAACCATCGTACGCTAGATCAAAGTCCTTGCTCTGCGATGAGTTGCGCCGCTTCAGAATAAGCCTCAAGTGGTGTGCACTAGATCACTCCTCACGCCTAGGCAAATTCATATCCTATCTCATGTTTGTCTTCCTCACCGTTTGGTGCCTATCATAAGCTCCCTCTCGGTTCAAGTCCCATCCTCTTCATAGCTGCTGACACCACAGCCTTCAACTTCCAGTGCAGTTTCCTGAGTCAGGCTGGCTTTCAGGCTTTTCACTTATGCTGCTTCTTCAGAAGATATGGTTTGAGGCAACTCTTGTTTCTCGACGCCCTGCAACAAGATACCACCTTGTCAGACGTGGACACGCGGGAGCTGGACAGGCGTTTCGTTACCTAGCCGCATTCTTCTACCCTCTTTTTTGTCCAAGTTGCGCATAAGATCATATTCTTCTCCACCGTGAAGATATCGCTGCCTTAGTTAGCTCCGGATTCCCATTGAACTCCATAAGTGTTGTGTGTGCTGGGTCCTGGGTTTACAGAGGGGTGTGTTCTGCTCGTCTGCGTGCTGTTTCGGTTGACTTGCGAGCTACAGATACTAAGGTTGAAGGGCTCCACAAGATGTTCGAGGGGCCCGGGTCCGGGTGTGATGCTGATGCTGGGGAAATATTTCAGGGGCATGTTAGAATCAGGAAACAGTTATCTGTTACCAGTCATAGGTATCGCTTCTTTATTATTGCGTCCTTGGTCGTCATCACCGTAAGCCAGTTCGCGGCTTTGTTAATGGTTTTGGCTTCAAAATCAGAAAAGAGTTTTTTCAATTCTGGCGATCTCCTGGTAAGTGTATATACCAATTTCCATGTAGCAGTAGGCAGTAGTAACATGCAGCGCTCCATGTATAATTTCTCTTGGCCTCTTCATATTTTTGTAAGAAACTATAATTAATAAGTAACTTGTTTCGGGTCAACTGCAATCACGATCGACAGGTATATATGTATATGTCTTGTTGGGGAAATGAATTACTGGCAATGTATATGATGAAATTGGTGGTGGTGCAGGTTTGTTCAGCCGTGCAGCTGAGTGGCTTCTTCTTGTGCTTGTTGGGTGCGGCGAGAATCACACATAGAGCCCAAGGAATGGCATCGGTAGCAACCAGATGGCATATGAGCATTATTATATGTGCAAGTAGTGGCGCAGGATAGAGCAAGCAAAGCAGCAGGGGAAACTCCATAACCCAGATACCGACGTGACCCCGCAAGCATCTAAATCTAAATGCAACAATGAAAGCGACTCCGACTCTTCATCAGATACACTCATCAGGCTTTCCACACAACATCCATCCAGCTTCCAAACCAGGCAAGCTTTAGGTCGGATTCTCATCCAGCTTCCATAGTTATATCACGCTCTGCATTAATTAATTATTTGGTAGATTAATCATATACGAGACATTAAGGACTATTATATTGGTTCTGGATGCAGTGTTATATTTGCAACATAACAACCGAGGGATCACGCTGTTCGGATATGCTCTGGATCGTGGATTGCTTCACACTCTCTTTGCATTTGAGTTCTCTTTGGTGATGTGGATTCTCAGTAAGGTTGTTGTTTTGTCTTAGAATCCCAGTGCTTACCAGTTACGACTCACTACCAACACCAAAAACCATATTATGTTTATGTCTCTGAGTGTGCCGAATTGGGGATTGACCAGCTTGCACATATGAATGGAGGATGATCGAAATATTAAATAGCTCATGTCAAAAAATAAATGCTCCATATGCAATTTCTATGTAGAAGTAGAACTAAACTAGTTTCATTGACGTTCGTCTTGACTTAATCCATACGGGCAATTTGCTACTCAATTACCATGGATAGAAACTGATAGAAAAATAAAAATCCAAACCATCACCTTCCGTTTCATTCTTATAGTTAGCAATCACAATTCTTGTCTGGGTTAATCAGCTCCAATCTTTAGAATATTGAGGTGTTGTAAGTACCTAAAGATTTGCTTCTGGGCCAGAAGCTACCTGTTCTTCAAATTTTAAACATTTCCCTACTTGTTCCAGCTCCTTCTTCATTTCCTCTTTCCATTTTATATATATTTTTTTCTATATTTCCCTGCAACATGGTAAGATTTAGTTACCCAGTCAATGAATTTTCAATACTGAAAAGTTGTTGCCCAAACCAGACTCCATGGCCCAATGGATAAGGCGCTGGTCTACGGAACCAGAGATTCTGGGTTCGATCCCCAGTGGAGTCGGTTGACGGCTATGCCTCGAGTTTTTGATCTTTTGAAATGGCCATGGCTGCCATGCAATGAGTTGGATAATGGAAGCTGGCCTGCCTCATTCAAGGCTCGCATGTTGAAATGTATCGCTATGACTCATTCAAGTTGGCAGTCAATAATAAACCACATGCTTTAAATTGCACCCTCAATAGAAAGGAAGTTTACAAATATATCTCTTTGGGGCCAATCATTCACATTCCTGGACGAGTTCTGAAAACTGATTGAGAGTGCTTAAAATGTCTCCCAGGCATGCAACAAGCTTGTCCCCTTGACGTCTTATAAAATCTGTTTGGAAGTCCTCAACATTCTTCACATCAGCAGCTGAATGGTCAGCATTCTCTGTAAAATTTTCCTCAATTACGGCATGGATCTGCTCTGCCTTGGCACAAAGTCTTGCCACCATAACCTGCTCCTCTTCTTCTACGCTAAACATATGTTTTATGTCCATGTAGCTCTTTTCACGATTTTCTCCTGCCTCGATTCTCCAAGTTCCTTCTTCTGCTTCACTTCTCTGAAGCTTTTCCTCAGCACAGCTTTCCTGTGGTTGTTCCACCACATTAATTTTCTTTGGCTTTTCGACTGCACAACGTTTTTGGGACTTTGCTTCAGCAGGGCTTCTCAAAGGAATTAACTTTCTCCTTTGCTTCCTGGGCCCTGATAAGACCAAATAATAAAAGTGCCACATGTTACTAGTTCAACGTCAAAGGTTCCAGCAAACTGTTCATATTCTCATTCCTACATTGGCACAACCCCACTTCATTGGAGAGCAATTATGGTTGGTTACAAAAAATATCATGAAGATGACAAAAGGCAGAAAAATGCCATTGAAGACCATCACTGTATCAAATGCAAACACCACAATGCTAGGCCTATGGACAATCTGACAATAGCGTGAACAATTTGATTTCCGAAAGCTGAACTATTCATATTTATCACAACCCACTACAAATTCAATAATGTACAAAGATATATTCTATTTCCTAAAGCAGTGCTGGTGACGGTTGCAGTAGTAAATAAACAGATAAAATGACCAGAACAATTGCAAAAGAGAAGCGGAGAAAACAGATCACAGTAGGAAAATGGTGTAATAGGTTTCAATGGACAAACAACAAATAATTAGTATACTAACTTTTAGTTGAAAGAAGAAAATGGAGACCCTAGTAAAGTAATACTTAAAAGTTCTATGTCAAGATTAGCCAATTAAGTTTTTTGCAGTGAGAATGACTCAGGTCAGTTAGACGAGATACCATCCATATAAATAGACTCACAGAAAATGAAAAAAAAAAAAAACCGACTTACCATAAAGGGATCCCTCCATGAAAGTCCAAAAAATTAAGGCATTCGATGAACAAGACTCACTGTCCAAGTCACACACAAAATAGTAGGTGAGAGCTCACATTATGGAAGCTTTTAATGGAAAGCCTAGTCTTCTTTGTGGTTGATGCGGTTCAATACCAAACAAAGCATTCATTGTAACACTGAAAAAAATTTAAGCAAAGCTGATAACGGGCTCCTAGTAAGTGCCACGGATGAATGAGATAGATACCAACATAATTCTCTCAATGGACTTTGCAGAACAAAAATAAGGAACTGAAGAAGCAGAAAATCCCATCAGTATAGCAATGCTGTGTGACCTTCACCAGTGTAAAAATTGAACTTTACACAATCCACAAGGAGGATTGATGGTGACTGAAGACAAAGAAGCAAGCATATCTGGTCGGCAACCACATTAGAAGTTAAATACATTCAAGAGACATAAACTAAGAGCATGTTTGTACAGAAGTAGGATAAACCTATACTAGCTCTGCAGTTATTTCAACCATATCATCCTACCTGGCTTCGGGATCACCTGTCTCGTCAGTACCTGATTTCTCCTCCTGCAATCTAACAACATCATTGATGGCTTTAAACAGATTCTTGTCAAAATTTTCTGGAAGCTCGATTCGTTTCTCCTTTGACCACCCAAAGACCAGTACGAATCAAATAGTGCTGACTGCGACTCCCAACGCTTGATCTTGGTGTAGTCCTGAAGCAACAAGTTCCACTTCCTGCGGCACTGATTTGAAGAGTGTGGCACACCCAAAGCATTGCAATTTTCCACTATAATTTTCCATTTCTGAAAGGAAGACAAAGCATTTGAACAATCGGTCTCAATAGCAGCAATCTCATTGACAAGAATGAGCAGATGCTGTGCAACCCAGTGTGCAGATGCCTGGGAACGTGTTCGTCGAATGCCTGAAGAGCGTGACGGGTTGTCATCTTTATGCTCCATTTTATGCTTGTTCTCAGCTGTTTATAAATTTTCAGCCTTTATTTATCGCACCTAGCTTAAGAAAAACGGCAGAGGATGGTTAGGAAAAGAAACAAAAATCAGAAAAAAGGAGGGGCTGTCTGTCTAAGAAACTGGTAATAAATTCATAAACAAACTGGAAATAAAAGAAAACAATGGGCATGAATTATTCAATTTGAGCTACGTGCAGAACCTAGCAGTACCAGTAGCGGCCATCTAGCTTGGTAAAGTAAGGCATGTAGGCATGTAGGCATGTAGGGTCCAGAAATTCTCTAATTGACCCACATATATACACAAACGAATGAGGAAAGAAAAAGGGTTAGTACACGGTCACCGTAATAATAAAGCTAAACTGTGACAGATTAAAAGGGAAAACCTGGAAAGCACGGCTCCTTGGCGATAGAGAGTGGGAGAAGAAGTAAGAGGTGTGAGTCTGAGACCCATTCTTCATCTGTTGAAGGATTCAGGGAGGGATATTATCATCATTTCATTTGTATTACGAAAGGGAAAGTGAAGGTCCAAACGCCAATCCCGGTTGACCAATGTTTCACGTTTGACTAAATTTGTTTTGTTTTTATTTATAATTTATTCAAGCAATAATAATAAAAAACCTCCATGGGCTTGGGGTAAGTAGGCCTTTGAATTGACCAAAACCGTGGTCTTCGGCCCACATTCAAGTTTGAGCTTTGACCGAACGTCCATTTCCCACCGGAGAAAAGTAAAAGTTGGACCCCATTGGGTGGAATTCCGGCTTCCGAGTGGCGGATGGGCAAATCACCTAATCCTGTCCCAATAGGTGTCTACATCAATGAATCCAAACCCAAAAGTAGGATTTTGGTGCCGCTTTCTTAGCTTTAGTCTTTGTTGACTTCCATCACACGTTCTGGTAGCTCTACTTCTGTTATGCTACAGTTTCTCCTTTAAAACTCGTACCCTAGCAGTTTCCACGCGGAAATAGACCTCGCGCTTGCCGGTACTACTACTTGCTACAATATGTCCAGGTTCAATGCATCTAAAAACATCAGTCCCAAGCATTTATTATCCATACCAGCATGACCATGGCATGCATGCATTGTTTCACATTTTTCAATTATACTTACATTATGTGTATGACCAAAAATATACCTAGAAAGTTATGTAAATCCACCCCAAAAAAAGGCAAAATAAAGAGATGATATGGTATATACTATGTACTATATAATATGGGACAAGAGGATCTATAAGTGGATGGCATGGCGATGGCCATATGGCAGCATATGCATACATATCTAAGACAATTGAATAATAATAATAATAATAATAATAATAATATTGGTGGCAACTGGCAAGGTATGTTGATAGTTGAGGCCCAGTTGGAGTTTCGGTTTGGTTTTGGCAGCTATAAATGTGTCCCAGTGCAATCCGCCTCCTCCTCCTCCTCCTCTTCTCCTCTCTCTTTCTTCTCTTTTGGCCTTTGCAAACCATACACAGACCCCAGAAACGCAGAGGGAAAGAAAGGGAGGAGGGAGCGCAAAGCAGGACAGTCTTAATCTCAAAGCCCAGCATTGTCTCTGTTTCTCTCCTGACGTTGCCTGCTGCCACCGTCCTCGCTTGCTATTTTCAGATCCACGCAACGCTTTCTCTCCTTCATATCCATCTATACATCTTCTTGTAAGTCCTCTCTCCTCTTTTTCGTTTCTCTCTTATGCAACAAGAATTAAGGACCCCACCATTCTTTTCTTTGCTTTTTTGTTTTTTACTTCATCATGGAATGTATTCGCGCATTCTTTCCTTGTGTTTTTATTTACCTTTTCTTTCTTTCTTAAAACAATAATAAAAAATACTACAACACTGGATATATCTGCCATTGGGAACAATAACAACAAACCTGGTTTTGATTTCACCTCTCTCTTCTAGCAATTTTCTTTCGGCCTCTTACATTTTAATTTCCCCCTGTTTTCTTTTTCTTTTTTTTTTTGAGTATATTGTTTCTGCTTTGCTGTTGCGGCCCTGCTTGCCTGTTTAAGGTTTTCTTAGTCCTGATTTGGAATTTGAGGGCAGTTTTTTGAGCGCGGGTAGATAGGTTGAGATATGACTCCTTCTCTTTTCCTGTGATTCTGACTCAACTCGGGCCTACTCTATATTTGTAACTTGGTTACATTTGTTGGGCTTGGATGAGTATGACAATGACTGCTGCGATTCAGAAAATCATGACCAACAACACTTATTCTCTTAGTCTTTGCTATCAAAATGAGCTACCCAAAGACATTGCCTTGCCACAACTTGTACAGTAACCAATCCATAAAAAAGATTTGTTGTCCTTGTTTGTCATGTTGTGACACATGTCTCATTGTATGATGAAGAATTAACGGTATCAACTTCATATTTCAGCAGTTTTGCAACTATGGTTTTCTGGGTATTTGGTTATGGTTCACTGGTGTGGAACCCTGGGTTTGAGTACGATGAGAAAGTCATAGGCTTCATCAAGGATTACAGGCGTGTTTTCGACCTTGGTAAGTATTTTATCAATATGCTACAACATTCTCTTGTTGTCAATGTTTGCCTTATATATTATTTTACTGCTTAATCATCTTTATTCCATATGACAGCATGCATTGATCACAGAGGTACACCTGAAAATCCTGCAAGGACTTGCACCTTGGAGCTCATTGAAGGAGCCGTTTGTGTAAGTAGCAGCTGGCTGCAACTCTTTCATGTCATATAATCTGCAAGTTATCAAGCTTATGCGTTTGATTGTTACCTTCTGATATACTTGCATTTGTTGCTGATTATGAGAGGCAGTCATAGAGCAAGAGATCAGGATACTGTGTTTTCTCTGTTGATTACTATTGCTTGTTATTAGTAGTCTTGTTAAGAGCTGCATGTTTTCTTTGTTTGCTAACTCTTTAATATCTGTTTCAGTGGGGTGCTGCTTTTTGTGTTCGGGGCAGTCCTGAAAAGGAAAGGGCAGCAATGGAGGTATCTCACTTTACACTTCACAGTGCTGTATTGCTATTTATATTTTATGTTATAGAAGGACAACTTTGGAGGCACTTAAAATCTAATGCTCGTTTGTTTCATTTTACTATTCTTATTTTTAGATATTCTTTGTTTGAACTAATTTGCACATTATTTGGTAACAAAATTGATGTTATCTTCAATTTGTAGTACTTGGAGCGGAGAGAATGCGAATATGATCAAAAGACCCTTGTGGACTTTTACAAGGTAAGATTGAGTTTTCTATTTCTCTAGTAGTTGGAATTGGTTATCTCTTGGTGTTTGTCTTTTTCCCTTTCTTCTATTTATATTTGATTGCTTTCAATCAGGAAGCAGATCCTCTGCAGCCTGCTCTAACTGGAGTTATTGTGTAAGTTACCCTGCTTATCAGTACATCACATCATTTTTCCAACTATAAAAGGTGGATGCAAAAATAGTCTTTTGTGTGCATAATTTTCTTAAAAATGATGTTATTGTATATGCAGTTTCACATCTACTCCAGACAAAGTTTCAAACAAGTATTACCTGGGGCCTGCTCCATTGGACGAAATGGCTAGGTATAGTAAAGGCATACTCTGATCCTTCCATTGTTACCTTTGACCCTTTGATGAAGTTTTTGCTTAGAGTTTTATTGTTAAATATGCTTGTTGCGTTTTCAGGCAAATTGCAACTGCTGTTGGACCCTGTGGAAACAATAGGGATTATCTCTTCCTGCTGGAGAAGGCCATGTTTGATATAGGTGAGTCATTTGTCCCCTTCGCACTGAAGCATGAATGTGTCATAACTGTATGAATGCACGTATTGAGAAGAATATGTTGAATGACCAAATGGAAAAAATTTGGGATTTGTGTGAACAGGGCATGAAGATGACATGGTCATAGAGCTGGCAAATGAAGTGAGGAAGGTACTTGGAACACTGGGGAAAGGAATTTCCAAGGAGAAGAAGCTAGTGGGGCCGCCTCACATGCCGCTTAAATCCCAGACCCCCATCCCATCGATGCAGTTGCGTCTGCTTCCGGAAGCTGTTGCAATGGATTCCTAGGTTTTTGCATGAAGAATCAGTCACTAGAAGGGCGAACCTTGCTAATGCTAACTCAAAAATTACTCTAGGGGAAGAGTTATCCCATTATTGTTACCTGGTTTAACCTTATTCATAGAGCGGTTTTGCGGTGAAGACACGAGAGAATGGATGTAGTAGGTTTAAACTTGTAATGTGCGTTTATTTCAGTTTCTAATCAAAGAAAATAATACTACACTTAATGTTTAGATGCGTTTCGAGCTCTTTCAAGATAACCTATTATGCATTATTCATTGAGCTCTTTCAAGATTGCCTCTCTTTACTGGATTCTTTTCAAGTTGCCAATGATGCGTACAGAGATAAATTGAAAAGAAAGATATAATGAATGCTTCTTCTTTTCAAGGACATAATAAAACAGGATCAATATATGTATGTATGTATGCATGCGTGAATGAAGTAAGTAAATAAAGCATAAAAGTATAATTAATTAATTAATTATTTTATTTGACATGATGAAGCACATAATGACCAACAAGTAGCCAGATATCTCACATAAACAATTCCACTTGATGTAGGAATAATGTGAATTTTAATTACGGTAATATCGTGTCTTGTTATTTTGTTTAAATAAAAAATATTATATGTTAATTTTAGTTTGAGGGCGTATGCTGTGTATGTTAGCAGAGAGACATATATATATATATATATATATATATATATATTTCCCCCATGCTATGCTCCGCAAAAAGACTTGAGCGACAAGTCAGGCGAGTAGAAAAATTAAAAAAGGACCTTCATTCTTCTCTTCTCTTCTCTTCTCTGTAGGTAAAAAGCTCTTTAAAAGCGTGAAAGCCAACGCCAATTACGAATACCAACCAAATGGATCTGAATATGAACCTCAACGCCCCTCACTCCATGGGCACAACCATCATCGGAGTCACTTACAACGGCGGTGTCATCCTCGGCGCCGACTCTCGTACCAGCACCGGTACGCTATTCCTCTCTCTCTGGGTTTTTTTTTTTTGGTTTCAAAAAATTGTAATATTAGGTATTTGAATTTCTAAAGAAGGGTTTTTGTTTGTTATTTTGATCGATTAGGGATGTACGTTGCTAACCGGGCATCTGACAAAATTACGCAGCTCACTGATAATGTCTACGTTTGCCGCTCTGGATCCGTAATTCTTATTTTTCTGCTCGCTCCCTTTATTTCCCTTCACAAATTTGTGCTCTATTATTTTTGGGGCAAACAAATGAAGAACATTCTATTTGTGGATTCTTAGATGTGATTGTCCTGTTTGCAGGCTGCCGATTCTCAGATTGTTTCCGACTATGTCCGCTATTTCCTTCATCAACATACGTCAGTTCTTTCTTATGCTTTGCCTCTTATTATTTGCTTTGCTACTTTGCCTTTTGCAAAGACTCTGTCAATCTATCTACTCCAGTAAAAGTTTGTTGCCATTTGAGACTGACTTTACTAATTCTAATGCTTAAGGAGCTTCAATGGCAACATTTCGAGTGTCAAAAACTCAAAATTTTTTGCCCATTTATGAATGCCCTCAACATAATCTAGTCCTTCACCTACGTAACTCTAGTTGCAGTTCCAAAACCAACGTCTCATCTCATTTCTGCCCAATTACCTTGCTGTTCCTTACAACTTGTATATACCTACATACCAATTAGCTTCAGCACTTTGCACTCCGTATCTACAAATTGCTTTGATCTTTTTCTGTTATGTTTACGTGATAGGTGATTCTTGGGGTATTACTCTGTTGGCACTTCTTGTTATTACTCTATATGAGATTCTGGTTTCGAACTTCCAGTATGAGGGATTGTTTAACAGCTTTTTTCTATTCTTTTTTCCCCCCTGTACCACAGGATACAGCTAGGGCAGCCTGCAACTGTCAAAGTTGCTGCAAACCTTATCAGGCTACTATCCTACAATAACAAGGTTTGAGCTTACCGTTTAAAAAATTTGCTTGACTATTTTGTCAATCTTCGTCCTTTTTTCCTTTTCCATTCTATTTGTTCCTTCCCTTTTTTCCCCAATGTTACTTTGGATGATAAATTTACTGTCTGTTTGTACACCCCTCCCTATTGTACAGATTCTTTTGTACAATTGGTCAGGACTTACACTCACTGGAATCATACTGTAGTTTTGCTGCAATTGTCTGCAGGATTTATATTTCTAGGAGCAAATGGTGATCTTTTATCTTTTTCCTATAATTCATGTTTATATGCTTGACTCAGTTCTCTTTATCTTGAGCAGAACATGCTTGAGACTGGCCTTATTGTTGGTGGGTGGGATAAGTACGAAGGTGGTAAAATATATGGAATTCCTCTTGGTGGAACACTGATTGAGCAGCCTTTTGCTATTGGAGGTATCCTATTCTCTTCTCTTGAACTTTATGTATCCTTTCCCTCCAATTTCAGGAAATAGGCTTGGTTCCCGTTTATGTCTTCCAGTGGTATGCTAGTGTACTTATCTTTTTGATTCGTTCTGGTGAAATGCTGGCTAGCATCATCGAGTATTGTAGTTACATTTATAGACATGCATGTGTTTTTACGGAGTTGACATGTATATAGTCTTGTTCAGCTAGAGTTTTCCCTACCTACTATCTGCATATTGCTCAGACTGTTCGTTGGCCTCTTTATTACCTTCATTCAGCTTGAGAAATTAGGTGTTAACCTATTGAGGTTCAATGTAGTCATGTAACCTTTAGAGTTTTTGGCTGATATTGTCGCTTATATAATTTGAAATCAGTGAGTCAGTGGCAAAATATGTGAAGTCTTCTCATAATTAGTTAACTGATGAAATTATATTTAACTAATTTTTTTTTCAAATCAGGTTGTTTTGCCCTGAAGACTAATGATTTGCTTAGTGTTAATAGTTCATTAACTTTCAGGAATCAATTTCCAAATCATCTTGTAATCTCTATGCTTATTCAGAGTCAATTAAATTGTGTTGAAATGGTGTATTTGGTTGTAATTCCTATTTGCAAAGGCTTCAACCTAATCTTTTATCATTTTGTTTCAACAATAACAGTTTTTGCTTCTGTAAAAGTATTATATAGTCAGTTTCTCAAAATTCTAGATCACCTAGTTTCTACTATTGACAACCTAAAGTATTGGGAGTGTAGCTAAAAGTATGACGTGGGCTACTATCTGATTTGGTTTGACGTGCTTTGCACAGGATCTGGGTCCAGTTACCTATATGGGTTTTTTGATCAGGCATGGAAGGAAGGAATGACAAAGAATGAAGCTGAGGTACATTTGTTTTAGTCAAGATTGACAAAGTCATATGTTTCATGTTTTCTTTTAACAAATTATATGGATAGTTCTTATTGGTTGATTGACCATAGATTCGTTGTTAATTGTTTATGGGATTTCGTTGCAGCAACTAGTGGTTAAGGCAGTTTCCCTTGCCATTGCTCGTGATGGTGCTAGTGGGGGTGTTGTTCGCACTGTCATTGTAAGAGATTTCACACCTCTAACTGAATGATTCTTGCACGTGTAGTTTGAACTGTGTACAGCATCTAACCTTGCTTTGTATTTTGTGTTGCAGATCAACTCTGAAGGAGTGACGAGGAACTTCTACCCTGGTGACAAACTTCCACTGTGGCATGAGGAATTGGAGCCTCAGAATTCGTTACTGGATGTACTGAACACATCGAGTCCTGAACCAATGAATATTTAATCAAAGGGGACTCATCTCTTAGATGGTGTTGAGCTGCGCTAGATTTGTCTCACAGCAGACTGTTTATTTCTTCTAATGTTTTTAGTTGAGTTGCAAAACAATGATGTAACTGTGGGTTGACTCGGAATGCAGTTTTATTGGTTGATGAAATATGTTGTGGGTGCTTATATTATTATAGATGTTGTGTTCACGTACTGCTAATGATGTCTGGGCCAAAAAAGGGGATTGGATGACTTGACTTCACTGCTTTTGGATATCATTCACCATTCACAGGCAGTTCAGTGTTTACTGTTTATATAATATGAAATTCGCAAGACTGAGTTGCCATAAAAGACTGCCTATGGGCTTGGACCTATGCTGGGTTTTACGCTTATAAACAAACATAGAGGTTAATTCAAGAAAACAAACAAGTTTTAATTAATTAATTTATAGTTGAATCTTCTCAGAAGAAGAGAAAAAGAAAAAGGACAATAAACAAATATTGATTTAATTGTACAGTAAAATATTAGTAATTGTGTTCTGTTGTTATTGCTAAGAGTAGGTTGGCACTTGGCAGGGAGCCCAAGACCAGAGGTGGAGAGGAGAGGATTTTCCATTTTCATTATATAAATTAATAATCTAATCTAATCTAATTAATCATCCAAAGAGCGCAGAAAGAGAAGAGAAGATGAGTGCGATGGCGAGGGCGAGTGCGAGTGCGAGTGCAGCAGCAGCACACAACGTATTCGTATATGGAAGCCTAGTGGCAGATGATGTGGTTCGCGTCCTCTTGAATCGAGTCCCCCTTTCCTCCGCTGCTCTTCTGAATGGCTTGTTCGTTTTCTCCCCTTCCCTCCCTTCAATTCCTTTCTTCTTCCTCCACCTGCTTTTTCACAATTTGTTTGCGTGCTGTGCAGCCATAGATTTAGCATTAAAGGACGCGTGTATCCGGCTATCCTCCCTGTCCAAAACCATCAAGTTATTGGCAAGGTGTCTCCTATTCCTTTTCTTTTTCTCTTGTATCCAAGAAACACAATCTCATTCTTAAAATTGCTCTTCAGGTGTTGTTTGGAATCACGGATCCTGAATTGCATATTCTGGATGAGTTTGAGGATGTTGAGTACCAAAGGTCTCTCGTTGAGGTCTCCTTGCTGGTCTGTCTTTCTTTCACCTTCCTACCTATTGCCTCAATATTGCTCATATCTTGATTCTCCATACGCCCATTGCCAACTCAGAAACACACCCTTCATTAAAAACGAAAATTTATTGCATTTCTTCTTGTTTTCAGAACAGAAATTCTTTGCAATCTATGGTGCTGCTAATTAAAAATAAATTTGAAGACTGTCTGTCCTTCCATTATGCAGGAAAGTTCCGACAAATTGCAAGCTCACGCTTATGTCTGGTCCAACGCCAATGATCCCAACTTGTATGGACACTGGGACTTTGAGGTATTTTCAGTCTTCTTCTTTGCTACGCTTCAATATATCCTGCTAATAATGGACACCAGAGATGGATGGAGTGTGATTTGAGATTTTAATATACAACAGTACTATAAATTTACAAGGTCCACACAGCTTCATGTTCCTTAATTCCTTCCATGCTGCAATGTTAATTTGCATTCTAGTCTAGTGTGTTAGTTTGATGTTCTTGAAGAGGAGGTAGCGGTGTGTGATTGTTCAGATGACCCTCATCCTGATGTTACCCCAGAAAACTGTAAATCATATTGTCAAAAAGGAAAATCTGATGTAGCAATCAGGCAAGAAGAGGCTAATGTGACTGCCCCAAATTCAGTGAAAACATAGTTTCCTTTACAATATGTGTATAAAGTAGTGAAGTATTATGTTTGTTGCATCTGCTAAAAAGGAATGGGAAGGAGCTCATAAGGAAAGCTTTATGAAGATGACCAGTGGATTTATGGAAGAACTGGAGCTGCCTGAATCAAAGCCAAGAGTGGCCACTTATGAATCCTTCTATCACCAAGATGCTGAAAAGTGACATGCATTCTTTTTTCCGGATGTAAGGATATTCTATTGTCCTCCATTGCTGCTGGCTATTGTAGTTTGTTTTGCTTTTGAATGAATAATGCAAACGGAAGATATATTTGACCATCATTGTTTTTTGTGAGAAAGGAAAGATGTATCACTGAGGGGTTGAGATTAAAATGAAAAATTGCAGCTCAAAGGCATATCCTTACATTTGGAAGGCTGGCTGCCCAAACAATTACATTTCTTATTTCATACCTGAAACCAAGCCTCACTTTTTCATCAGCCTAAACCCCTTAGCTCATACCTAAACCAATTGCAACTATAAAAAAGTCCAAAGCATGTTGGCAATTTACGCATAAACATGTGTCCGTCTTTGTGGAAAAGACTCTTTTATTTTAAATTTCTAAATTTAATCCCGTAATAAATGAATTTATTAGGCGGACGATTTCGGGGGGAGGCGGCGGCGAATTCTCAAATGCCCAAACTTGCCCGCACCAGGGGATGACCCTTCAAATATAAACGGCAAATACCCTGTTGCACTTTTGTACCTCTGCTGAATCTGGAACCATGCACAAATTTGCAACTCATTATCTTACTATATATAATACTACCAGAAAAGGATTACTCGACTCTACTATTATTGTTCAACACTAGTTACCTCCAGAATGTGTTGGCTGCTTCCGAGTGAGTTCCTGCCAATCACACACACTGTTCCACCCGAACCCCCGCCTGTAATTTTAGATCCGTACAAAGTTCCATCTTCACCTTTGCCTAATTTACAGTGCTGCATTTCCTGCACCAACTCGACTAGTCTATCTGTCCCATCAGACCCCAGTCCGCACGCACTATAGCTGTAGTGGCACTACAATTGCAAATGTGGTTGTTTCAAATTAACACCTTTCGCATCCACTAAACACGCACTTTCCTTCAACAATTATTTAAAACAACTTTTGCCTTATACCTGGTACAACAGTTCCCCAAGTGCCGTCAGTTGCTCATCTGAAGACTCTGACGTCAGCAGTGCCTTGAAGGCCTACACGTAAAGGAAGCGAACAGTTGGTAAGGAAAAACATGTGTCATAACAAAGTATGTATGCGCGCCTATCACCCACAAACATCTCAAGGTCAAATCACAAACCTTGACCCTGAAATTTTCATACACAGGATGCTTAGCGGCAGCTGTCACTGCATACGTTCGGTTCTTGTCAATTACTGTAACCGTATCACCATGATCACTATACTTCTCCATAAATGTATCACCAATCATTGATTCAGGAAGTAGCTTCGCATAAAGAGCTTCATATCTGTAGCACAAGACCAATTCAAAATGGCAAAGTTTTCTTAAGTCATAACAACACTGCTAGTTGTCCACAAAAGTAGCTTCTTTGCTCTCGGATTAATTCAAGGTAATAACATCTACAAAAGAGAAAGCCTTATAAAACACCATTACCTGTGAGGTGTCAAGTTGCATAAATAATCTAATGAAGCTTCAGCTTCAAGTAATTCCAATCCATCATTGTCCAATTCATCAGGAGATACCCCATTAGCAGTCGATAGTGATTGAGACAATTTAGTAGATGCTATAGCTTTTATCATCTTTCGGCCCATAAAGGCTCCTACTCTAACAGAACCATAGTCTGCACCTCCAACACTGCCGCATTAAAAAAAAAAAAATCCAACTAAGAAGAAATGCGAATTACTATAGCAAGGAAAAGGTAGGTCCATAGCTACTGAAGTTAGTGAGAACTATTAAAAGCTTTAGAGTAATTAAAAGATCATGAATAACTGGAAGGTATTCAACTTTATGCATGTTTTAGAGTGAAATATGAAGGGTGACTAACTTTGTTTTAGTATAGTCAAATTTTCAACTCAGCATAATTAGCCAAGAAAACAAGCATGCACTGTAAACAATGTCCCTTACTACTACAAGCTAAGTAAAACTTAAAAAAAGAAAGGACAGAGCATCTATGGACCCAATACCTGTGCCGTATTCCAGAATCAATTCCCCAAAATCGGATATGACTGGGAATTGCTACAAGTCCAACTATCTCAGCAGGCTGCAGAAGACAACCATTGATTTGAATGTCAGTTAACCAGCAAAGGAACTTCTGCATAGGTTTACTCTGCAGCAGCAATGATGATTACCTGGCAAACCATTGCAAGTAGTTTATTTGCTTCACCACAGGCTGAAGTCATTTGGTCCATAACACCGCATGGAGCTCCTACAATGTGATTCTCCACCTAATAAACAACTCAAAGAAATAAGCAAAGCAACATATATACCTGAAACATGTCTTCTGGAATGTAAGAAGAATATATTAATTGGAGGATTGCACCTGACTACAATACCTTTTGGCAGAGCAGGGCAAGATCTCTTGGACTGATGCTCAATCCTGCAAAGTATGTAAATGAAGGTATAAATAAAATCTCACTCTAAAATAAAGATTAACTCTATCTGCCTGTAAATGGTCTAACCCTTGGAAAGGCTGCTTTTTTATATGATCTAAACATAAACAAGATGATCAAGCTTAGAGAAAAAGATTAGTAATTAAACAGAAAAGCTTCAAATTTTCCAATTATTTCACTGATTGAACGGTTTATATTATGAAGCATTGCATACTCCAAAATCTACTCTCTTAAAGTAGTCATCCTCTCTTCAAAGATTCCAGTTCTTCTGAAAGACTTCATTCACTTATCCCTATGTAGTTATAGCCCTCATTTATCTCATAACCAACTACTGCTCTCCAACTAAAAACACAACCAGTTTTGTAATATGTAGAAACAGGACTGAGGAAATGAAATAAACAGCAGAGAAGTTATGCAAGGGAAATGAGAATGTTAGAAATACCATGAGCAGCTGCAATAGCTGACATGCTAGCAACTTCCACAGAGGCAGAAGAAGAGACACCTTTGCCTTCTGGAACTGCAGAAGAAACCTGTAAATAGCTGAAAGTAATTATCTAGACAACAGCAGCAGTGTTTGTGATATATAACAGAGAGATGTTGGAATATATCAGATTAAATAACTAGTAATATTAATTTCATACAAAAACAAAGCAAATTCACACTTCACAGATCTGCATACTTAATGAAATCCTTTATATGCCATTCTACTTTGTGTATTCGTTACTTTCCTTTTTTTCTATTGAGTACACAACATATAAGCAGCTTCATCAATACTTCATGTATTTCTTTTCTGTTAAAATAGTAGTACAGTTTTACATATCTCAAGTAAACTTTAAGGTTATGAAATTACAAGCTATATGTAAACAGCCCCGTCAAACATTAATCAAATTAATAAAAAGATAGTTGAATATGGAGAAACAGAGAAAGAAAAGGTGGCAGCAGCAGCATAAGAGAATTCCAAGGGGTAGATATCAATTCAACAACAGCGTACACAATGAAGAAAGCTCCCTCTTACCAGCATGCTGATACTATCCTCAAAGCGTACACCTAATTCTTTCATCAAAACCAAAATTGTCCCAGCAACATATGCCGCCCACCTGATATAAGAAACACATAATTAGTATATAACGTAGCAAAGATGGATAAATCAAGCAAGAAGAAGGACCCACTTTTGGGACGGATCTTGGGCGAAGTATTTTTTTGCCTTTTCATATGAAATTGGTTGCTCTCCTTCCATAAAGTCAGCTAAATCCATGTCAAAAGTTGGGCCACGATTGCTCAACTCTGAACCATATGATACCTGATACAACCAATTGGAACTTAGCAATATATAACTAGTACAGCATTTTTATTTAAAACAACATGTATATTCTTTTTGTTATCCGATAAGAACTTTGTTTAATAGGTAGGATTTAAGCCTAATGTGAAGATTTCCAGCACATAATGGGCTATTCGATTGCAAGGCAGATTAAGATCCGTTTTATTTAACATGCCAGCATCATTCCCTCAGAAAACAAGAAAATTATTCAGTCCATGTTGGTGAGAAACAAGTTATTCAACTAATGATATATACAATTTGCAAGACAGGCATTGGTCCTTGTCCTTTTGCATTCTGCCGAGCGAGTGCATGTTTCCAAAGCCTGTGTTTACTTGGATGATTCCTTTGCACCGCTACATGGCAGGCTTCCTTTATAGGCATCTGTCAGAGAAGAAATGGTTAAGAGGAGAAAAGCTTAGAATTAATTCCATTGGGATACATTAATAAATCATGATGTAAGAAAAAACCGAAATTCTACAGAATGGCCCACATATAAGAGAGTAACTGTAAGAACTGGAGAATGAAAATTCTAACCTGCAAGACTAGGCTGCCTGAATAGTCTGCAATGCCTCCCATAACATCCAACCTTCCAGGTGCCCTAGTCACAAAGATATCCTCCTGTACAAAAATAACACATAAAGCAATCAACAACCTCAAGCCAGTCTCAAAGTTAAACATGACTCTTGCCTGAAGCAGGTTCCAGTTTTGAAAGCTCAGTAGAAAAACAGTTACTTAGCCTAAAATGTATCTGTCTGTCCTTCCACACTGAAAAGTGACAAGATTGAAACAAGCAACAACTGTTTATGTCCATCCAGTGCTTATATAATGCATGAAAATAGAACTTTTTTGCTCAAGGGCATGAAAAGTCTAATACGCAGGTTAAAAATCCAACTGAAACATACTACGACTATACAAGCATACATTATTTTTTCACATGTTCCTAGCTCAAAAAAATTTATAAAAAAATACATCATTCAAAATCATTATTGGAGACAGTTGCTAATAATGCAATCAGGCAGGGATATGCAGGATAGGAAAATTTTGTTAAACTTGTAAAATGAATAAATTTTAGCTAGAATGAGCATAACCTCCCAATTAAAAAGCCCAGCAGCAGCCTTTCGTTCACGCATCTGGCGCTTCTCACTATTCTTTTCAGAAACATAAACACTGTCAAGTTCTACCAAGCCATTTAGGAAACTCATTGTATCTGAAAGACCTTGAAGATCTCCATGAAGAATTTCAAAGTCTTCAGTGCATCTACAAAAGAAACAAAATGTGTCAAAGAATGACAATTGAATCCATCTTTATCATCATCACTAATTAAGATAGATAAAACTCACAAATCCGTGATCAAGTTGCTCTCACTCATCTTACAAGTTGGCGATCCAGTACTTAAACCA